CCCCTTCCCAGCGCACCATCTTCATAGACTTCTGCCCCGCTGCGGTGGCCCCCTCCCTCCTTGCTGTGTGCGGGCGCCTGCGCAGGGCAGGAACCACGCCCGCGGTGTGTTTCCCCGCCCACGGCCTTCCCTCTTCCCCCTTTGCTCCTCCCTTTCGCTCCCTGTGCCACACGTATTCCCCTCCTGTAATAAATCCCAAAAAAAAGGAAACCCCCACACCTCGCCCTGCACCTATGCCAGCCACATATGCCGGCCATCGGAAAGACACACATGCACAGACACAGGGAACCAAAGGAGAAAGGGGCCCTCCCCCACGCCGGCCGGCGCGCAAGTCGCCGTACCTCGGCCGCAGGGGAGGATGGCAGGGAAAAATCTAGTGTGCCGCAAGGGCGAGAACAAGGAAGAGAGGGAAACAGAGGAAGGGACATCGGCGAGAATGGTCGACCATCAGGCGGACGACCCAGCGGACCGGGAGGCATGATACTTTTGCACCCGGGCCACGAGCGACGCCCTGCCAGGGAGTACCAGCTCACTGGGCGAGGGGGGCCGGTCGGCCGGTCGCCGGATGTATGCATTTTGAAGGAGGGTCTCGGCAGAGGGCCGCTGGGGGGGGGGGGGGGGGAGAGGGAAGCGAGTCAGCGAAAGTGGGCGATGCAAGGGGACCAATGGCTCGGGAAGGGGGGCACGCGTGCCGGACGAGCCGTACCGTCCGGTAATCCTTCTGCAAACACTGAGAGACAAACTCACGAAACTCGGTGCTTGCGTCGGGGCCAGACCCCGTCGCGGAGGGGGCGGTGGATGGGGGCCCAGCGCGGCCGGTGACACCGCCGCCGCGCGAGTCGGCCGGCGATGACCGCCGGCCAGCTGCTCCGGGAACCGGCGGCGGCTCACGCACGATCGCATACAGCGCGCGCATCGGATGCAAGTCCGCATGGGGCGGGCGCCCATCGAACAGCTCGATGGCTGTGATGCCCACCGACCAGATGTCAGCCTGGCGGCGGCGGCGGGGGGGGGTCACAACCACCGGCAGCAACAGAGAAGGGGAGAGGGGGGGCCGGCGGAGGGAGGGGAAGGAACACATGTCAGCTTGGGTGCACACACGGACGGCGGGAATGCATGGCCAGGACGAGGGGACATACACGTGTGTCATAGCCAACGTGGGTGATCACCTCCGGGGCCATCCAGGCCGGGGACCCGGCGAAGGTGGATCGCCGGGCCAGCGACCCGCCAGACAGCTCACTGGCCACTCCGAAGTCGCAGAGCTTCACCTCGCCCCCGAGCGACAGGAGGATATTGGCGGCCTTCACGTCTCGGTGCATCTTCCGCTCCCGGTGGAGGTAGAGCAGCCCACGCAGGACGCCGGTCATGACAATGGCGATCTCTGGCTCGGAGAAGGGGCCGGTGTGCTGAAGCTGGGTCGGCATGGGGGGGAGGGGGCGGTGAGTGAGCGAGCGAGCGAGCGAGAGAGAGAGAGAGAGAGAGAGAAGGAGAGGGAAAAGACATAAAAGAAAGGGAAGACAGGCCAGAGAGAGAGAGAGAGAGAGAGAGAGAGAGAGAGAGAAAGGCACGCACCAGATCAAAGGCAGAGCCGCCGTTGACATACTCCATGACAATCCACAGCTGCTGACGATTGGCCGTGCGCCACGCACCATGGTACTTGGTGATGTGCGGCGACTCGACCTTCGACAGGAAGGCAATCTCCCGGCGAACGGCAGCCAGGGCCCCTCGCGAGGGGGCCGTCGACTCGTCGGCCGCCGAGGACAGGTCCTCCGCCGAGAAGTCCGCCCGACCAAGGGCTGGCAGACCACCGTCGGCCGGCCCGCCAGGCCCACCACCGGGGCCGGCGGTCCCACCGGCAGGGCCACCATTGCCGGCGACCACGGCCACCGCCGCGGCCAGGAGGCGCTCCGGCCGCGAGGGAGACCCAGCCCCACCGGGCCCGGCGCCCGTGCCCGTCGGCACCAAGGAAATGATCTTGATGGCCACCTGCTTGCGGGTGGTGATGTCGGTGGCCTTGAACACCTCGCCGAAGGCCCCGCGGCCTACCCACTGGAGCTGGCGATATCGGATCTCCGGCGGCAGGAGGTGGCGTTCCTCGACGGAGTCCGAATCCTCGTACTGGTCAGCGACGGCAGCCCCAGCAGCGCCGCCGAGTGTCAGCCGGCCGGCCGCGATGGACGGGCCAGCCGCCGGGGCCGACGAACTGCCCACCGGCGCCGGCAAGCTGACCACCGGCGCCGGCGAGCTGACCACCGGCCCGGCTGCCACCACGCCAGGACGAGACACACGAGGGGCTGACGGGGGGCTGTCTGTCCGCGAGGAGAAAGCCCGGATGAGCTTGGACACGGAGGCACGCGGTTCGACCGGAGACGAGGGGGTCCCCGGGCTGGTGGGCGTCAGGGCCGTGGGCTGCACAGACCCGGGGCCGGGCCCGGAGCCCGGGGTGGCGCTGGCGGCCGGCCTCGACGGGCCACCCCCGCTGGATGCCACGATTCGAGACAGGTCCAGCGACGAGGGGGAATAGTCAGCCGAGGCACCGGGCCCAGGGCCTCCGGCCGGGCCAGCTAGCCCCACCCGGCGGGGAGGATACCGCGCGCTGCTGGTCGGAGTCATTGAGGCGCTGGCGGGGGTCGCAGCCGAGGTACCGCCAGTCTTCTGGCCCACATCCCCAGGGCCCTTGTCTCGTTGCAGTTGCCCCAGGACCCGGTGGAAGGGGGTCATACGGTGCCCTGGCGTCCCGGCGCTGCTGGCGGGCCCGGTGGTGCTGGCGGGCCCGGTGGTGCTGGCGGGCCCGGTGGTGCTGGCGGGCTCGGTGGTGCTGGCGGGCCCGGTGGTGCTGGCAGCCCCGGTGGTGCTGGCGGGCCCGGTGGTGCTGGCGGACTGGGTGGCACCGACAACACCGGCGGCATCGGCAGCACCGACGGCACCAGCGCCAGGGGCAGAGGCAGTAACCTTGTCACCCGCCCCGGAGCCGCGCGGAGTGACCACTTCGTCGGCCGACATCTCGGCCAGAGACAGCTCGTCATACGACGACCCGGAGGACGACATCGACGAGAGGACCACATTCCGGGACAGCCGATGGGATTCGCGCTCGCCGGGGCCCGGGGGGGGCGCCGGCTCGGCCAGCGCCTGCGACATGGCATCCGTGTCGGCGAGCAGGCGCAAATGCATGTCGGAAATGGGGAAGCTGTGGCGATTGCGCGAGGAAGTTTGCGAAGAGCCTGACCCACCGGACAGGGCCACCGTGGCCAGGAAGGGCGACCCACTGGGGACACTGGACAACGACGAGCAGGAGGTCGACGGGCTGAGGGACACCAGGGAGGTCGGCGAGCAGGAGGCCGAGGACAGCGGCGAGGACAGCCGCATGGACCCGGACAGCGGCGATGAGGGGGACATCAGCGAGGTGAAGGACCCATACAGGCCGCTGGTGCTGCCGCCAACCGAAGCCCCAGCCGAAGCCCCACCGGCGGCCACCCCGAAGGTGTGACCCACCGGCGAGGACAGCGAGAAGATGGACGATTCGCTGGAGGTGCTGGCCATCAGCGATGTCACCGACCCCGTCAGCAGGGAGGTGTAGGCCTCGGTCGAGGCGGACGTGGGCCGGCTGCCGGCGCTGGCCCGATCCCGCCGGGGCTGCTGGAGATTCGGCTCGCTGCCGGCCCCGGCCAGGGGCGATGGCCGCCCCGATGGGGGAGGCCCGGCCGCCGCCGCCGCCGCCGCCGCCGCCGCCGCCGCCGGGGCCGTGCCCTCCTTGCCGGCCAAGCTGCCGGCCGGCGGGGCGGCCGCATTCCCGACCGCCGGCGGCCCCGCCGTCGAGGGGGGAGCACCAGTCTGCCCCAGCGTCGACAGGGTCGGCGAGGAAGCGGTCCGGGTGAGGACACGCCCGGTTGAGTCCGGCCGCGGCGGCAACACCGTCACCGTGGATGACGACGCAAACACCAGGGCATCGATCTCGGCCAGGGTGGCGTCGGCCGCGGCCCGGGCCAGCTCCGCGCGTTGATCCGCCTGCAGTAGACCACCCCCGGGGACCGGCGGGGGCATGGCCGCCACCAAGGGCGGGGGCACATGCATCGGCCGGCCGGCCGGGGCGGCGGTCGTCATCGGCCGCGGCGGGAGCACCGGCTGCCCGGCGCCAGGGGGGGGCGGTGCCGCCATGGCGACCGCCGATCCGGCCGGTGGCGGCCGGCCACCGCGCGGGGCGAAGGGCGACACGGCCACCGCCGCCGGCCCGGCGGGGCCTCCCCCGGGCCCGGGGTCCTCCGCCAGGCCAGCCCCACCCACCGGGCTCAAGGGCCCGGTGTCATACGTGAGCGAGGTGATGTCCCCGGCGCTGGGGAAGGAGGACAAAGACCCCAGGGCGCCAGGCCCGCCGGGCCCGGCGGCCCCGGGCGGGCCCAAGAAAGCCGGGCCACCGGGAACATGATGCCCGGACCCGAGTCGTGCCGGGAGGGTCCCATACCGGGCGGGGGCCGCTCCGCCCGACGGCAAGCCCACAGGGTACGGGCTCGGCGAGGGGCCATTCCCGGGGCCGGGGTGGAGCGGCACGCCGGCCGGCCGGCCGCCGGCCCCATGGTAGGACGGCTCCCACGGGGAGATGGGCACCGCCGGGGAGGGAGCAGTCGGGGGCACCCCGGCGGCGGGGGGCTCGGCCCCCGGGCGCAAGACCGGCCGGCCGACGGGAGGCGGAACCATGCCACCGGGGCCGAGGCCGCCGGACAGGGCCACGATCGGCGGCGAGGGGGTCGACGACACGACGGCCGTTTGCGAGTGCGAGAAGGAGAAAGGCGTGGCAAAGTTCCGGACCGGGGTCGGAAGGAGGATGACAGTGGGGATGTGCGTGGAGGCCGGGGGCGCCGCCGGGGCGGGGAACTCGGCCATCGGGACCACGGCCACCGGGACCACGGACGCTTGCCCGGGGAGTAGGGGTCCGCCGAGGGCCGCCGGCACGCCGGACTCCGGGCCCGGGCCCGGGCCAAAGTTGGCCGGCTCGGTCTTTTGGTACTGGAAGAGGGCATGCGCGCAGCGCTCCCACGCTTCGTGCCAGTCGTCCGGGGGCTGGTGCCAGCGGGCCAGGAGGCTGGAATACTCGCCGCCCGGGTTGAGGGTGTCGATGGAGGCCTGGGCCATGAGCGGTCGCACCGGGGCCGCGGCTTCCAGCTCGGCGCACGCCCGGCAGGCGGCAAAGCACTGGAGGCAGGCGCCGGCCAGGTGCGCCGGTACTCCGCCAGGATCCGACGACCCCTGGGCATCGGCCCCGGGCCAGGGAGGGAGGTGGACCACCCGCACGGCCGCCGCCGGGAGCAGGCCCAGCCGGCCCCGGTGCTCGGCCACAATGAAGCCCTGGTTCCGGGCGGCCGCACGCACGGCCTCCGCCACGGAGGTTGATGACGTGCCGCCGGAGGCGCCGGACTCGCCGGAGCCACCCACCGACCCGGCAGATGACGAGGACACCAGCACATCCAGGATGGTGATGGTGTCGCCCCGGCGGACGGCCAGCTCTCGGGCCGACATGTGGGGGCGCTCGATGTTTGCCACGACAATGGCCTCAGGGAGGTAGCCTACAGAGGGGGAGGGGGGGGG